CAGCCACTGTTGTTTTGTCAAACGTTTCTTCAACATCACACAAAGAAATATGGCCGTCGTGAAAATTTTGAATTGATACACCAACTGAAATCCATCGATAAATGCAGTAAATAGTCATGGAAAAGCACTGATGAAGTCTTGCAGCCAAACCAAATAACTACGGTCTGTAGTAAGGAGGCCAAATCAGTCGAAGAACTGGGATCCGATGGGTATTTCTCGTTGCACTTTGCTGTGAGGTGATTGATCATTCCGTCGGTACGGAAACAGGAGTTAACCAATTCAGATACTAAGAATAAGGAAGGACGAGAATAAAGAATCTCAGGTGGTGAAGCGTTTTGGGCATTTATTGTTATTTCAGAGGAATGCTACTATAAGGTAACTGACTCACACAAACGGTTGCTGCTTCAAGATGCGATAGTGCAATATAGTAGAGATTATTTTGGAACGTATAGATTACGGCTGGCACACAAATTTTGGCCGTTTCCATAGGATTGTCCCAAATAGCCGCCTTGAACTGCACCATGAACCTGCAATATTCAAATTCTAGACATTAGACTGGAATCTATTCCATTTCGCGTGGCTGACGTATTTTCACCAGTCAAACAATCAAAAATCACATTGTATTCTCAGTGCTCTCCAATAATTTTTGAGAAACGAGAGAATAATAACTTTAGGATTTGTCGAATCCATGATGCTCTTTGATCCGTAATCTGAGGTAACAGTGGTTGCTGAGCATGGTTGGCAAAATCAGTGCCGTTGATCTAGCACCGGAGGTCACGACAAAGGGCCTCTCATATTATAGTTATTATTATATTTAAGGAGTTTTCCATTTAGCATATCTACCCTACAGCTGTGAGATTCTCTTGTAATAATTAGATACGAGAATTCCATGATGGAACGCATTTTTCGCACTGTTAAAGAGTCCTGAGCATAAACTGATCGAACTGGATGGCATGAGTTGAATACTTCAAATAGGCTAAGCACAAGAAATAAACTGATTGAATAACAACGGCAAATTCTGTTGACTTACTTGTGCAATGATTTTTCGAGTGCTATGATGACCGTAACACAAACACTGAGTTTAATCACTTCCATCATGAACACATTCACTGTTGTACTGAACATCTCTTTCTCCTGGCGATATCGTGCCGCACGACCCATCAAAGGCATACTGAAATCCAGTTACATCCCGTTGGAAGCGTCCTTATCGTACATTTTCAAATGTTTAGGATTCTCCTAATTTCGTGATGAATGCTTCATCTACTGCACATTTTGCAAATTAAATCATTAGCAAATGCTTCCACGGATTTATTAATTCCGAAAAAAA